AACCCGGTCTCTAGAATTTTTTCAAAAGTTGCTTCCGCTTGTGAAAAGTTCTGCTCAAGTCTTGGCTATTGAACAGCGAAAATCGCAAGTCTCTATCTCATTCCTATCAAAAGTTATTTAAAAAGTGGCACCCTGCACTGTATTTTGGTATGGATACTAGTCGTAAGGCGAGGTAAAATATCTTCGGTGAGTCAAAACCAGCGATATTTTTAAGTTTTGAATTTTTCTTCAAGCCTTCCCGGTTTGTAGAGGACACTTCGAAGTGTATGTTCAGAAGTTTTCTCGGGTTACTGAAATTATCTGGCTGAGAAGAAAATTAATTATTTAAAACAGTATTGTTAACTTTTGGACTTATCAGACTTACTGAGCGACCAAAAATGAATTCTAAAATTTTTAAGGTAGACTTTGTTGTAGCCCGTGAAATTCTCTGTCATATGAGATATTCCTTGAATTTTTTTGTTGCGCTGCTATTTTACAAATGGAACCTTATGCTAATAGAGTAGGCTAAATTAACATTAATTGGTACTAATTAGTCAATAATCGGAAGGAAAGAACAAAAGTTTTTAGATATTTTCTCGTCGTAAATATTCTCCACACATTTTTCCATCGATCTAGGTAAGGACTAAGTTTTCATGATGAATGGAGAATAGACAGAAAAAATTGTAATAATAATCAACCCCGTACTCAAAAATTTAACAACATTTTTTAAGTAACTGATTTTTTTCTCAGCTAAATAATGTAAATAAGTTGAGAAAACTTCAGAACATATACTTCGAAGTATCCTCTACAAACTGGGAACGCTAGAGAAGAATCTAAATGGGCGGACCCCCCCTTAAATACTCTACATTCTGAAGTTTTGAACTTGTTCTGATGTTGTTTGAGTGAATAGGGAATTTTTTAATATTAGGTGAAAACAGCATGAAAACTCAAATTTTCGTAAAACTGGCTGTTCGATAGATTTTTAAAACTTTTTCTAAGAACAAATATTGCTACGAGACTCAAGATGGTCGATTATCCATAGTCCATCCGTCCTTAAGGCTACCAAGAGTCATCGGGTGGCAGTCCTGAGACTCGACGGAAATCCGATACAACGTCCGAATCGCAGAAAATCCAGGTCTCACTTTACTCCCATTTCGAAGAGAACACCCCGGGCTATCAGCTCATGAAAAAATCAATGCATTCCTATGTGAATTTCGGAAAACCTAAGTTAGTTTTCCAAAGGTCCTCTAAAAAATCCGCTTCACAGATCTTTCTGAAATTCTGTTTTGGTTACAGAAATATGTGGTCAGTTGTCTAGTTTTCAAAACTGAAAATCGGAGGTCGCTATCTTATCTCTACCAAAAGTTATTTACATAACAACCAAGTGCACAGTGTTTTGGAACGAATAGTACTTTCCGAGAAAATCTTTGACATTTTGCATATCCTTGTCAACAATTTCAAAAAAAGTTCTTCTTCGTAACAATAAACAAAATTTTTAGAAAAACTGAGCCGTTTATTTTTAATCGTAGGTATGATGGTTAGAATATGGTAAAAGAAATTAAGAGTACGACTAGATAGACTTTTTGCAATCTAGTATTATTCCAATGGCTCTTCAGTAATTTTCTGATTCGGAATTTTTTCAAATTCGATAATAAACAATGGTAATATTTGACAAGATTGAAACAAAACAATTTCCTTTCCTTCAGGTGATCTGTGAGAATGATGGCCTAATTCGCATGGTTTTCCATATTTTTTTTGTCCTTTTTCAACTAAAAACGATTCACCTGGTAAAACACAACTCATCATTATTTCATTTGATCTTTTATACTTTTTGGAATAGTAGATAGCATAATCAGCAGCAAATCCTTGGTAAATACCATTACCAAAATAACCGGGATCTAAGATTTCAATACCTTTGGATTGTAATTTTTTATCATTCATATGTTTAAAATCACTTGGTGCTAAAAAACCATTTTCAGCTATTTGACGTAAACATTCGAATGAAGAGCCGTGATAAACATAAAGTTGTTTGAGCATTATTCAGATATTGGGTAGTTTTTATCTCTTCGTCTGTAAATGGTATGCCACTGTTTTTTACACATAAATGACATATTACTTGACTATTCGAACGATCGTTCACCGTTATTCATAAATATTTGATTAGAAGCTAATTCAAACTGTTCCTGCAACTTTTTGTTTCTAATTATATAGATTTTGGTTATACGATATTGTTCAACACCAGATAAACTATTGAAAAATCGATTTTCAACTTCCTTCCACCAGTATGAATCTTTGTTAATTTTATCAGTTGAGAACTGAAGTAATCGATTTATTAACTTCAATAAATGTAATTTTTGTTTGAGTCTGGTGGATTCTGGTTGTTGATCTGGTGGATTGTATAGATGTAATGAAGAGTGAATTTGTTCTATCTGTTTGAATTACATTGATCAATTATATTATGTAATAAATGTAGAAGCCAAAATTGTTGAAAATTACTTTTCGAGTTTAATAACATATAACACATAAGATCGAGATATACAGGATTTTTTTCATAATTAATACGTTGTAACGCGACCATTTGCCTGCCAAGTGATGAAGAAATCAAATAAGATGATGAAGTAAAGACAGACGATATTGCTGACATTTGTTCACCCATTTTAACAACAATTTGATCTAACTTATTGACACGTTTCGAGAATAATGGATCATCTCTACTAATTACCGGAATTTGTTGACAGTTACACTCGTCAAACTGATTTGCCAATTCGTTTAATATTTGATATGATTGTTCTTCTTTGCCTGGATAGTTAGTAACACTTTTATTCGGGAAAATGCTTTCTTTCCGTTATAAAAACGAAAACTGACTTTTCAATTTCGTAGGTAAGAAGAGTTTCATGAGAAATATCAACAGTTCAACTTAATGTGACCTTAATTCGAAAGCGAAACTTCATTTGAATTCGTTCGATTTAGATTTCTTTTACGTGAACTTTGAGAATTTAAATTTAGTACCAATATGACTTCTCAGCGTAGTCTCCTCAATCTTCTGTTCAAAACCATTGTGCTGTTGCTACTTATGGAAATATGCCCCATGTCTCTTCTTTCAATGATGAAAACCGCGAGTTTCTATCTCTAATCGTTCGGAAGCTATTCATAAAACAGCCACGGTCCTGTACTTTGAAATAGATTGTAGTTAGTGTAGTGCATATGGCCTCCCAGGTGGAAAAACATAAGCCATTAATGGCCAGTTAATGAGCAATTTAAAGTCTTCCTAAAAAGGGCCTAGTTAAAGATCATTAAAAGCGTAAAAAAGACGAAAAACAGATCTCTTTAACTAGCCGTTTTTCAGTCGAAGGAAAAACGACCTGAAAACGGCTTATAAACGGCACGGGATGAAAACGGTCCATTAACAACGTCATAAACGGTCATTTTTAGGATCATTTATTTTATGAGATAGTGACTGATAATGAACGGCTTATTTTCACATCTTTCTAAAAACGGCCTAAAAACGGTCTGTTAAAAGCCACTTAAAAGTGTCGTTTATTATTTTCTTAATGGAGGTAAAGAAATTTATAAGATTTTATAATTAGTAAACGTTTGAATAGGATTGACACTAATAATCTAACGGCCAAGTAATATTGTTGCTGCGGATTCCGTCGATATTTCAAAATGCTCTTCGGCTACACTAACGATTAATCGCTAGTGTAGTTATTACAAGTTTCAAACTCTAAATGTCTAAACTTTGTTACATATAAACAGTTTTTATTTGTGTGACACAGATCTTTTAATTATTGAACTTTTTTCTGCCTCGTTTCTGATCGTTTGATTATTGAATTTTTTTTCTGATTTTATATGGATTTGAACTGTTTGGCTCATAGCACATGTATTGTGTCACATTCATATCGCCTTCTGTTCCGGTACTAGGCACTGGACAAAAATATCCCAATAGTTCGTTATAAGTCTTCCTTGTACAGATCCTTATCTCAGAAACTGCTTATTCTTCAAGCGATTACAGTAGTCTACGAACTTACACGTACTTTGTACCTACGAGCGCTACAGAACTGGGAAAAATTCTGAAGTTTATAATGTCTAGTTTCTGTTTACATTCCCAATGCGTTTTAATTCTTTCTTACATTCCATTTTCTCTTATCTGTACTAAACTTTTATTGAGTTGGAAAGCCAAACAAAAATTCGTCTTCTTTCCTCTTACAATAATCGCCATTTTGATTCTGACAGCAACAAAATCAATACATTTCTATGTAAATTTTGGAAAACCCAAGCTAGGTTTCCAAAGATCTGAGAAACCCGCTTCAGAAGTTTTTCGAAAATTGGCTTTTGCTTACAAAAATATGTGTTCACGTGTCAAGTTTTCAAACCTGCAAACCGCGGGTCTCTGTCTCATTTTTGTGAGAAGTTATCCGAAAAATATCCGAAATCATTGCACTTTGAAACGCATCTCTTACAATAATCGCCATTTTGATTCTGACAATAGTCAAATCGTGATGATCTAATCATGGTTTCATTCATATATGCTTTCATCAGATCCATGCTGCACAGCAGAAGTAAATCATTCTCACAGGTAAAGTCCAAGTCTAAACAAGAACAGTCATAAGTAAACGACTTTATTTACACAACAAAAATATAAAGATGATACATGTGGCAAGAAGGGCACCTAGCACAGCTTGTCCGCTGAAAAATTTGTTATATCCTACGGTAAAGGTGTAGATATCCGCTAAAAGTTTATATGTTATATCAGACGAGTTTCACAAATGTTATAGAATGGTAATTCGTCTTGGCTGTAGTTTGGGAAATAATGATGTGCACGTCTGACATTTTATAATTTTCTGAAATACTCACTTTACTTCTGGCGTGTTGCGAAAATAGAAGACATCGGTACCATCAAGAAATACTTAAATTCGGATTTGAGAAACTACGTTGTACTTCATTCGGTAGCCCTTTCAATTCTGCATCTTACTATATACAAAACTATGCCAAATCTCTGTCTGTAGAAGAAACTATAACCATTTTTATATGCCACTATAGGCAACACATCGAGATACCCGGCAAGTATTTGTCCGATGCGTTTACAAAGACAAACTTTGAAAATAATGCGTTATAGTTTATTTTGTAGCCTGTGAAATTCTCTATCGAACGGTATATAAAGTGTGATCGTTTATGACAAAATAAATGGATATTGTGATACATTAAATATTTATTTATGAAAATGCATAATATCGGCGCAAATTGAGGAGAAGCGTTGATTGTGATCAAATGCTAATAACGAGTGCAGTCTACGATGATGGTTCTTAGCTTTTGTCGAACGTTTTTCTGTCAAACCATTGAGTTTTGGATGACTGTTCTTCGCTCAGATTCTATTCTATGGTCGTTTTGTCTGTTTGTTTTTATTTATGCTACAGAAAAAATTTGGAAGTAGAAGAGGAGCTCCAGACTGTGAGGTGTTCTTATTTTGTTTCAGTCTTCCTGTTTGACCTTCAGGCTTTGCCGATTAGCATTTTTAGGCTATAAGACCGTTAGAAAAAAATAAGCTTATTAACATATTTTGTTCTGAGATTCATTTGTCAAATGTGGCTTCTAATCTAATTTATTTTGTGCTACTTGAAGATATTTTGATTTCACGTTTCAGAAATAGATTCATTCATAAGAATGTTGTCCTGCTCGGTTATTGCTGTATTTTTCGGCTTTTGTTGCGTTGCAGATGTTGCTAATCGGAGATAGTCTTCTGCGTGACGTAGCTTCGAGACTGTTATCATCAGAATCAAATGAATTCGAGAATGAAGTATTATCGATAAGCGGATGCAATATTACTCGTTTAATTGATTTGTTTCAGAAACGTAAAGTTTTATGTTATGATAGGAACGAATACATTAGCACATACAAATTCACATCTGGCAATGAAAAAAATGCAAGAACTGATGAAATTGATGAATCAAAAATATCCATCAGTCCTTTTAACGTTGATGAAAGTTCCATTCCGTACCAAAAGAGTGTTTTATTTAGACCCAACGGTGATAACGGCAGCAGAAATCTTAAAAAACGCGCAAAGTTTTTTAATACAAAACTTGAGAAACTAAAAACAAATCTATCTAACAAATTAATTTTTGGTTTGTCGGACCTAGAAATAAGTAAAGCTCATCTTTTACCGGATGAACTTCACTTGTCCTTTGAAGGGATGAAACAAATTGTAGAAATCATCTCTGAGCATTGAAATAAAAACCAATGAGATGCCTTCTGCTTTTTTTCTCGAATTCTTTAGGAGCAAAGCGCCTGTTGTTATTATGCGCTCCACTATGTATAGACTCTGCATCTATTCATATCATTAGGGTAGTCTAAGTGTATTTGTAATTACTTCTGCTCAAATTTATTTTGAATGTTAAGTATTTTTTAAGCTAGTGTATTTTGAACATTTCAAGCCCAAATTTATTTGGAATGGGTAATTATTAAAGGCGATTATTTTGCAATATATTTAAGGTAGGGAAAACGCCTGCAAAAATCGACGAAAAAACAGAATAGGAAGAACTTTTTTCCCCATGGCCGCTAGATTATAATAATTACTGTCACTATTCATTGATAATTGCATTAGATTTTAGATCATTTATTGTCTCATTCCGCTGCTATGGTTGTTCTCAAGTGTTTGTTTATATGTTGTTTATTTTCGATGCATTAGGATTTTAGACAAAAATAGTTTCAAACAAAACCGAAAGATCTTGAATCTTTAGAAGTTGCTTCACATTCTTTAAAAATTTAGAGCATCCAGTTCATTTCTTCGGCTGATATTGTCCATCTTTTTAGCTCAAATGACTTTGTTTCAATAACTGCGTGAAATGAGCGAAGTGCTGTGTTTCAGAGTGTGAGAAAGAAAACGTAAAAGTCTCAATAAAGATTTCGAGCAAACTATTCATGAATTGTCTAAACTATAGCTGAATTACGTGACTTTCTTCTCAATTACTCAAATGAGAACACCTTACTTTCGATATTTTTCTCTTTCTAGCAATAAATCTAACATTTAATTCTTATCTTTTAGATTTTCTAACGTCTTTTATACGTCAAGCCACTACCACTGTTCCTTCGATTTTTCTGTAAATTTTCAATAAAAAAGATTTATTAAATTATTATTCTCTTTTATTTAGATAACAAAACTGCTTAATCACATTCTGTCAAAATGAAAATCTGCTACAAAAAATTGCTCTCTTTCGAATACACTTTTTTACACTGTTTTACGTTCTTTTTAAGCGATTCAAACGGCCACTTTAAGGTCTTAAACCAGTGTCATTTGGCTACGAATTATTTTAAGGTCTTATGTTAGCTCTTTATAGGATCTGTAAATGAACTTTTAAATGCCGATTAATTGACATCTTTTACGCCTTAGGAAAGAACGACTTAAAAGTGGCTTATTTATAGCCAGTATTTTAGTGAAAATTCGATTGTCCAAAACATCATTATAAAGCCATTGTTAGACTTTTATAGATACGGTCTGATCTATTTAAGGCCTTAAAACGATATCATTAAAATAATCAGAAAACGATCTAAAAAGAGTCTGCAAAGTCTAAAACCGGCCTTTAGGTTACCTTAAAAACCTATCAGTTTTAGTTTTTCAAGAAATGAAAACGTATTCGCTTGAGTGAAGAAAAACTTTATTGAAAGATAACAGAATTCTAGCGTGCAAGTCTTCTTTTTCTTTTTCTGTATGTCACGTATTCATATCCGAATGTAACATTAGGAGACATTCGGAGAAGAAGAGACCTTTATCTATCCTCTTTATCTATTTGTGTCATGGACTATACACACGTGGAGAACAATGTTTCTCTTCGTTGCTATACACATGTTCCTTTCTTTGTTCCTTTCTTCTGATGGCTGTTCTCTTCCGAATGTATCTTAATGTCGTGATCCATTCTTGTTTCGTCGACAATAATCTCTAGTCGCCACGTCCTGGTGAAGTCCCTGGGGAGTCTGAAGGTGATTCCTCGAGCAGTTTTAGGGGAGATCACTGGAGATTATACATTTTTCGGAGACTTTTCGAAAAAAGTCGACTAGGGATTTCTTAATCGGTTCGTCGACACTTTTTTTTAGCTTGGTTGGTCGACACTATGTTTAGAAGCAATTAAGCTTGGTTCTTGTTTCGTCGACAGTTTTTTTTATCCGTTGTAAAATATGGAATTATGGTTGCAATTATAAAAGTGTATACTACAATTTTAAATCTTAAAAAAGTTGATAAAATTCAATAAAAAATATCAAGTGAGCAACGGACATCTACGACAAAACTATTAGTGTGCAGAAAACAGTTGCAGTTTATAATAAAAAATGTATAAATATACTTTAATCAGTGATATTGGACTCACAAAATCATCTTTCAATCAAGAATACTTATATTTTGCCTCTACTATATGTTTAGATCGTTGGAATCTCTGGATGAATTAAGTAAAAGTAGTTTAAAAATAGTTTAACGCCACGTAAGAAATTACATGTTAATCGTAATAATCGTTTACATAATTTGGAAGATAGATATAAACAAAATAGTATAAATTTAAATGACTTTTTGTGTAAGGTATCAAAAACAATAGGTGTTGAAGAGTTCTGATCTTTTCTTGATAATTTGGTGTTTTACAACGGATAAAAAAAAAGCTGTCGACGAAACAAAAATTAAGCTTAAATTGTTTCTAAACATAGTGTCGACGAATCAAGCAAGAAATTAGTGTTGAAGAAAGCACTGATACCCTTAATGCAGAGCTGGGCAAGTCACGGATTTTCCAAGTCATAAGTCAAGTCATCAAAAATTTTCTCTAGTCAAGTCAAGTCAAGTCACCAGTCATGACTTGGAATTTTTATTTTCCGTAGAAAAATGCCCACGGCGAAGCTGGGCTGGTTACAAATTTTCTACGAGCTTCGGCATTTTGTTTAGATACGATGTTTGTTTTTCGTATTTCCAAAAAAGATGTATTTCAAAAGATAATCATAAAAAAAGACAATGCTCTAATGAGTCTAACATAGTTCAAAAACAAATCACACGTAAATAATACACACGTAGCACGAGCACTTACGGGGAACCTTTCGAGGTGTAACCTTCCGATTCCAATGATTTGTGCATGGATCGCTAGATCTCAGCGGGGTAGTAAATACCCTAAAACGATTCGTGCCGATGACTCTTAAAGACCCGGTTTTCTGGAAAACCAGTTTTTCAGAAACTCTGAAAAATAACTCAAACCTATTTTTAATGAGGCATGATTGTAGCCCACAAATTTCTGATTAAAATGAGACATCTCCCAGCTCTACATGACCTTTATTCGCATAGTTATATAATTTACAAGAAAAGCCCTCGATTAAGTTCTTCTTATTTGTGTAGCTTTGAGCTGACAAGCAATCCCATTAGAAACGTCGTTCGAGGTCTTGAAATGATTTACTTTTCAATGAGTTTAATAGCTTGATTGTTTTGGCACAAGAAAAAAGATGTTTCTTGTAGTTTATAAATCGTGATTCAATATGATTTGTGACGACGCTCGCTGCTCAATGTGAAATTTTCTCGTTGTTAATGGAAATACTAGAACCCAATTTCGAAACTACTTGCTGATGCCGGTCTCGAAGCGATAATTAGGCATGTACCGAGACCGAACCTCACGGTCTCGGCCTGTCTCGTTTCCGGTTCGCATTCTCATCTTTGTAAATTTCTCGAGTCGTTTGGCGAGAAAAGCTTCATTTTCACTAATAATCTAGGCCTTTAGAGGCAATTTTAAGAACTTAGCATAATCAACATCGAAGATCCGTCCACTAATGAGATGCGTAAAAAGCACAATGCAAAAGAAACTGAAAGAAAAAAATCGACAAATCCGAGAAGACCAAAACAAGACCGAGTCCGAGACCGATCGAGATTGAGACGCATCGAGATCGAGACGGATCGAGACCAAGACAGGCTGAGACCGAGCGGGAACGAGACAACACCTGGACCGAGATTGTCTCGTCCGAGAGTCTCGGTCTCTGTACATGCCTACCGATAATGTGTAACGCTCGATTCTGTTAACAAATGAGAACATACTTCGGTTGGCGGTGCATCAGCCACGCTGTTTATTCCCTACTTTCAAATGATCCAAAAGTTAATGTTAAGGCTCCTCCCTCGAAAAAAGCAATTTTTGACAAAAATATTGACTTTGACATTTATCCATATTTATATAGCCTATGATTTTTACTTTCGAACGCCTTAGAATTTATTGGTTTTACCAGGGTTTTAAAGAAGTTTTTCTGAGAAATTCAACATCAAAATCTTTTTTTCTTGAGAATGTCGTGATGAAAGAATTACGTGTTTTTTTGTAGTATTTTATTTAAAATACCAGTTATATCATACGTATTAGATGCAGGTAAATTTATAGTCTTTTTTTCATAAACTAGTGATTTTTGATGGGTTTTCCGTGGGAACAACGCTTACATATGGGAAAAAATATGTCGCACATGTCTCTACATGTGCTCATTCGATTCACCATCGTCGATAACCTACGACCAACTGCTTTCAGTTTTTGCGTCTACCAGTGTTCAAGAAAAAGCCGCGATAATCAAAGAAGATACTTATTTTGTTTTGTTCTGGAAACTGTTTTTTCTGTTTTACCTGATTGTGCGTCAAAGATGTCTCCGTCATTTAAAATGCTAGATTACTCGGGAAGGTTTTAAAATGAAGCTAAAGCTCAGCGCTAAAACCTAACAGAGCCAGAATTTTTGTTTTCAATGTAGTTGTGTACGAAAAAATCCAGTTTTCTGATTAGTAAACGTAAACCTTTCCAAAAAACAAATAATAGTTCTTTTTTTAGAACTGGCTTTGTTATGCTGTAGGGGCAAGTCTTCTCTGCATTCTGACACCACCCCGAAGTCTGCAGCATTAAAATCGAAAGAAAATCTTTGACAGACGGACACCTGCTTTTTTATCGTTAATGTTAGAATAACTCTCGAAGAACTCAATATTGTTTGCTCAAATTTCTATTAAGAACTATCTAAGGTCGGGTACATATTTAGTATTTCACGAAGATTGAGTGCTCTCGAAAAAAAGAATTCTTGAAGGGTGGGGGTCCTTGAATGTTTTGTATTTCTAAGGCTTCAGTTTGATTATTTACTATATATTCTCTGCATTTTCCGTTTTAATAAACAGATATTTGTACAATCTAGCTTGATAATCGATAAAATTACTTCCTCATCTACTCACTGCTTTCGTCTCTGAGAACTTCGACAGAACAATGTATATGATCTCATAATCTTCATGGGACTCCAGACGACTTTGGAGTCCTTGGAGTCCCTCGGAATCCTTTGGAGTCCTTGGAGTCCTGGAGTCTCGGAACCCGCTGTTGCCCCCTTGGAGATATTCCTGTTTATGTAAAGAAGGAAGGCTTTCATAGCGCATTATACCTGGGGACGGGAGAGTAACACAAAATGTGAGAGTTAGTCATCTGACAATATTTCTTATATGTTGTAAAATGTCTGTTTTATATATCTGTCTAAATCTCGGAGCTATTGTTCTTTACCGCGTTACTTTTATTAATAGAAAATGAGAAAACTGTGTAGCAAAATCCGAACTTTAGAGCCATTATCTGAGTATTTCAGGCAGATGGTTATACCGGCATCAACCGATTCGGTTGAAATTTTTACCATACGTTGTCTAGTCTGAGATTAGACTATGAGAAAAATTCCGACCGAAGTATAGGTCCTGTAATAACCCCAAAAAACGAGGTTTTTTTGATAAAATGCGATTTCCTCATTTCATCAGCTGAACAGTGATCGGATACATAAGTTTCTCTCTATATAAAGATGTAAAATACATTTGTGTTTTGATGAATGATGTTGGTAGTGAAGAACGAAACGTTACAATGAAGTTTCTACCTTGAAAATGATAAAAAGGATAGGTTTATTCTTATTAATCCTATTGACATTACTTCAAAGTATTTAGCAATATTCTACATTACATATGCCACACGATTAATCGACATTTGAGTGCCTTTTTCTCCTCGCTCTCTACTCTATAGATCTCCAAATAACTCAGCTCATAATCGGACGACAAAGAAATTGTTATCATCATCATTATCAAAGTGAAGAATCATTCGATTTTCCTGATCGGAAAAAAGTCATATTGAAAAGTGTCTAATGTCGAGGTCGCTCAAATGTCGATCGCTCAAACGTCGATTGACGATGCCCACACCTGGAAGTTCAACAAAGATTTCAAAACTAATAGAAAGTCCTTTGGTTTTGAAATATGTTTTTAGAAATCTCTGAAAGAAAGAAAATACTAGTTACTTATCCTAAGTAGAGCTAGACAAAGCAGAGTATATCTTGATATTCGAGTAGATTGAGGAAATTTGGATTATCTCAAGCAACAAAAGTTAGCTGTGAAAATATGAAAGATGATTACACAATTTCTGTTAAGAAAAAACGTCATCATAGGTTGATACGTTTGAAACGCTCATCATCAGATAGCCCACAGTATCTACTAACAGAATCCAATGTTACCTAGTCCTCATCGAAGGGGTATGGAGGTTTTTAGAAAAGTTTTTTGAAAACCTGGCTTTTCGAAAACGTTTTACTTTCCGATTAAAAAGCAAATCAAAAATTACTTTTCAGTAGCATCACAAGATAGAACAAAGACTTCCGGTCAAAATGAGATATCTCCCAGCTCTGAATGATATTCTGATCAAGAGTTATGAGAGTTTTGCTGAAAGCCCTCAAACTTGCATCAGATACTGGCGCCACTACTATATCTCGAAAGTGAGTTTCACTTTAACACCATTTCGTAGTTCCCAGATTTCTCGGTAATGAAACATCGCAGAGCTCTAGAAGATCTTAAATCGAAGTTGACATATGTGGCTAGACCCTATTAGAGCCCGACTTTTGATATTCGTTCTAGATTTGTGAGTAGACGAACATCTTTATCAAAGTTAATGAGACTTTTTCGAATGGGGGGCCTTAATAGAGAAAACCATGCATTCTAATATCGTTCATGGTTACACAATCCTGTCCAAAATAAAAATAATAATAAAACGTACATAAACTGATCAGTTTTACAAATAGAAAATTAAAATTAAAAGAAAAAATAAATAAGAATGTTTTCTTATTATTGAAATGAGTATTATGCATCTGAGCTAATTGGTACATCCATCGTTAATGTTGGTTCTTCTGTTTTTTTTCCGCGATAACTTATATTTGGAAATCCTGATCCTCCCTCTTTACCTGCCGATTGTCTTCTAATTATTATTTGATATATAATCAATAAAGTTAATATTCCAAAAACCAGACCGACTGCTAAGCCGCCAACAATCGCTCCAGGCTGTGATCCTTTTTGATATAATACAGTTTTTTCTCGAATTTCTTCTTTATAAACTATCACTGTATTATTAATATTAATTGTTGTATTTATAAACACAGTTATATTATTTATTTGTACATTTGAATCAAATAAATATAAATGTTTTAAATCTTCTAATGTTCCTTCAATAGCACTAACTATAAATGTATCACCAAGACCATCACTAATTTCAAATTTAAATAAACCTCCATCAATTCCTTGTTTTAATCTATCTCGTGCATCAAGAACACTAATCGCATCAGCCGGATTATTTAACGGTGGTCGATCTAAGATAGTAAAAATACAATAAAGAGTATCATTTTGTTTATTATGATCAATTTCTAAATTTGATACACGTTGTCGACTGATATCCATAGTAGATGTTAATTGATTAACCATATTATTTAATAATACACGCCTTGAAGAAGAAAAAAAACTCACATAAATTGATGTACATTTTTTAAACAATATTTTATATGTTGTACTTACCTATCGAGATGAACATCTTCCAATGTTGATGATATTGGTCGATTCATTTTCAATTGAAATGCAACATGTTTATAAAGTAAATCATTTGATCGATAGCATACGCTAACATCAAATTCATTTTCATGTACATCTTGATTAAATTCATAAAATTCATATTGAATATTTTCTACAACTGGTTGATCATCATCTGTTTTTCGATACAATTTTAAATATAGATGAACAGGATAGTCAAATAGATATTTGCCTGTTGGAGAAATAGAATTCGATTCTCGTTTTGACCATGCCCATTCTAAATTTGTTTTTATCCAACTTTCACTTGTATCTGGTGGAAATTGACCTTCAGATATTGCGAATATTATACATTGGATACTATTACGACAATTTCGAATACCAACAAATTGAAAAGCATTTTTTGGTGAATTCAAAAAGTAATTTTGAAATTTAAAAAAAAATTCAATTGGATTTTTAAGAACATCAACATTATCATATTCTAAATTTTTTGTTATTTGACATGCACCCGTTGTACGATCAATTGTATATTTATGTTGAGTTTCATGGTCAATTACAACTTCTTGTAAATTATTACCAATAGGTTTATAATCATAACGTAATATTTTTCTCTGTGCATTATATCTTAAATGAAAATTTCTCCACAACATTTGTTTTGATGTTGAGGCACCTATACGAACACTGAAAAGATTTGGCCATTGTATTCCCTGATCTTCTAGACTAACTAAATCTTCGTCTTTAACTAAACCATGGCATAAAACACCTTTGGGTGGTGTAAAATAATCGGCTTGTTCAACAATACCTGGTTTGTATGAAAAAACATTAAGTACCGCATCAACCTCAGCAATATGACTTCCATTTACCATTATTGATGTACGACTGCGTCCTTGCACCGGATATGATGTTCGTATTTGACCACCAGGCATGTTAAAGTTTGGTTTAGCAAATGACCAATCATATTTTGTAGTGCGATAGGTTGTTTTATCAATAACACACGTTCTCCATGTATCAACAGGAATACCTCGAATTTTATCTTCTCCAATATATTTTGGTTTAATCAATGTTCCATTTAAACTCGTTATGGTAAATGCTAGAAATTGTTCTAATGGTCTTATATGATATACATTATCAATCATGATTGCCGAAGAAGAATCAGATGGTAAATTGACTGGAATATCCTTTACAGTACAAAATTGATTACTTGAATAGATTGCTGTTTTCAAACTGTTGTAATAAAAATATTCAAGAGTAATGATACCATTGAAATTTGTTACCTTTATCATTTTATTCGCAGAATAATCATAAAAATATTGAAACATTACTTGTCGAAATTGAGAGAGATTAAAAGAGATAGCGTGAGCTGTTTCCACAAGAGTAAATTCAGCTTTATCAGGAAATGTTGGATATTGAATACCAGGTGGTGTTGGATCGGGATTTAAATCTAATTCACAAATTAACGGATCGCCATTCCACTCCTCTTTAGTATTTAAAGTATTAACGGCAATAACAACAGCCAATATCACTAGAATTTTCATATTAATGTGCATGTTATCACAAAATGTTTTTAATAAAAAACGAAAGACACTTTTTTTTCATCGTTTTATTCTTTTATCTTATCTTCAGGTAACCAACACCATTCACGTATATTCGCATAATACTCTTATTCTTTTATTTTTATATTTTACTTCGTCAAAATATACATTGTCCGCTCTTTATTAATCTTTTGTTCTTAAAATTGTTCAAAATATTAAATAACAAATCATCTTTAATATATTTCTACACAGTCTGATAACAAAATTGGACGATAAAAAATGTTCTCTATTATCTTAAAAATTTTTCAATTTTAAATAAGTTTCTTATCATCGTGACTAAAGAAGGTACACAAACTCAATGTACAAATAAATATTTAGTAATTTCAACATTAGTAATCACTCTTGTTGGTAAAAAATATTATCATATGTGTTAGTATTGCCGATATTTTTAACCATGTTTTTTGTACAATGTACTGAATATTCAAGAAAAAGTGATTGTCATAGATTATTTCAATACGTCGCATAAAACATATTTGACTGGCGTAAAATAATCGACTTGTTCAATAATACCTTGTTTCTACGAAAAAATATTAAATATCTGATAAATTTTCTTAACAACACGGTTTTCATTAATCATTATTGATGCATTAATGTGTCCTTGCACCGGATATGATGTACTTATTATGGTAATTAACGCACAGATACAGATAAATATGTCCAAGCAAAACTCACCTATGGGAAAAATCTAGATACCTTTTGTCTGTAATCGGGCGATGCACGACTAGTTGTCATCTAGATTACTAGTTGGAAAAGGGACTTTTAACTAGATGCGTCTGCATGTGCATCTAGCAATAGTTAAATCGATCGATTATCGAGCGATAAATCGATAGTTGCAACTAGAAGAAATCCAGCAGTCGTCACCCGATTACTAGATTTCCACGGTCGTTACCCAATAGTTGCAATCGAGTAAAAATCTAGTAATCTACATGAATCGGACGATACTAGATCTTTTTTGATGCTTGGATGCAAGAGGGAAAAACCCAAGAGGGGAAAACCGTACTCCATACTCCACTACTCTTCCATACTCCACCACTCCTCCATACTTCACCACTCCTCCATACTTCACCACTCCTTCTAATACTAGAAGCATTGAGAACTATAGGAACTATAAGAACATTAGGAACTATGGGAATATTGGGAATTATGGGAACATTAGGAACTATAGGAACATTGGGAACTAAACAACACTACAAATGAAAGCAGAATTTGAAAACGCAAAGCACGTCAATCGAAAACATCAAACTCCATTCACTCCAGGGGCACTCCACCACTTCGTCTACCATTCCGAAAGAGTTCTTGGGAAATGTAAGTACCGGTCGCTTACCAGTTAAAACTTTCAGAAAAATGGTTGGTCAACCGGCCGGTCTGCACATGTTCGCCGTTCGGTCGGTGATCGGTCGGTAGAGCCCTGTGGGATTGAGTTTTTTCGTCTCGATCCCGATCCCGAAAAATTCTTTTCGCCAATCCCAATCCCGATCCCGTCCCGTAGGTACAATTACAATCCCGTTAAATCTCGAAATTTTTTTCGCTAAAATACAAACAGCTGTAGCTCGTGTGCAACAGGCTGAAAGAAAGAATCTGATTGACTGTCGTGTGAGGACGACAGTTTCTTGTGTGTGTTTAATTGTTTACTTTATCGGTGAAAGAAATTATCTGCTAATAACAGCTACCAGTAGCAGATAACTTCAGCATTCGTTGAGAGCTAGCTGGCCACCAAAAGTAAGATATGTAAAAAGCTCAATATGGCCTCTCTAACCAATAGAAGAGTGTATGGAAGTCCATGTTTTCTCTTTTTTACGTTACACTAGTAGAAAAAAATATGATAGAAAAAATATAATAGAACCATTTATACAGCATGTGTCTCTTTCAATAAATTGGAAAAAGAGAATCCCGATCTCGTTCAGCAGCTTAAATCCTGATCCCGAATCCGTTCGTGAGCTTGACCCCGATCCCGCAGGGCTCTACTGGCCGATACCGCTCAGGATTTTGTTGACCGGTTGCATCTCTGGATTATAGGATTCTGAACAATTTTGTCATTTAGTATAGCATCAAAATTCGCTTGTGAGAGACGCTGAAGATTTTTTCCTGTTTATGTATGTGAGTTACACGCAATTGTTATAAACTTAATTACCCCATGAAAAATAGCTGTGTTAGTACTAATACCTGAAAGGAGAAAAATGAGAAAAATAACTGTCTATTACTTTTCGTAATTTCTAATTATCAAATTTCGATTAAGTCCAAATGACTGACAATTCATATGGAAGGTAGAGCAGAAAACCCTCTACAAGATGCTGTAATTTTTAGTCAATTTATTACAAGTTTTCTCTTGAAACTAAGTGCTGTAAGTTTATTCCAGCAATTTTGACTGTAGTTATCACAATCATCGCAAATGGGGGAATTATGGAAATGCTAAACATATTCACTACAAATTTATTACAACTAATTAATGTTAATGAAATTTATAAAAATGTTTACGTCAGTAGATAGCTAAGAGTGGTAAAAAACCGTTTCGCCAAAAGACAATTCGCCATGGCGAAATGTCATGTGTCGTTTCGCCAACTCGAAATGTCATGTGCCGTTGAAAATAGTGATAGTAGTTGGAAGTATTTGTGAAGATGAAGAAGAAGGAAGGAGGTAGAGACTATGTGAAGATGTATTTTGAAAGTGTAAATATGTTTTTTCTTTTTTCTTCATTTTTAAGAACAGGTGTTTTTTTACTAAGTTGAATTAGATAAAACGCAACGCTATTTGAAAAATTACATTTATTTTATTCCCCTATGTCTTTTGTTGTGACATCGTTCTCATGTTTATTTGTGTTGGAATTAGTACGCATTTCTAGCATTTCTATTTTCAAGGCTCTGTGTTCGTAGCTATTTGTTAGTTTGTTTGAAAATATATATTTCGAGGGAGGTTTCCAGGAAATTGTCTTTCGGCGAATCGTGCTCTGGCGAAACGTCAGAGATTCCCCAAAATTTTGCGTATACAAAAGATGTTCAAAAACCGTTTCGCCGCAAGACGATTCGCTATGGCGAAATGTCAGTGCCGTTTCGCCAAGAATTTGTACGCTTTCGCCAATTGGCGAAACGGCACATGACACTTCGCCACGGCGAATTGTCTTTTGGCGAATCGTCTTTTGGCGAAACGACAGAGATCCCTAAGAGTCAGCTCCATTTGCCTACATAACACTAATTTTCTCCGGTGAAAACTGGCCAAAATATCTGAAAAGTTTTAAGCGATTATCAGAATTACTCCATGTGACTACGACACTTGTCTCTCAGTCTGGATCCTCGAAAGATCGAAAATACTTGATTGACATTTCACCTACTTTTCACACATAGTGCTACACCAACAAATAAACAATAGTTTCAAGTTCACTATTTTGCCACGTTAAGAAAACTGAATATAAGGAAAAATATAACTATTGTGATTCAGATCTAAGTATATATATGCTAGATGGATGGGAAGTGAATAAAAGAAAGTAACATCGGATTACAATAGAAAGAAAATGTTTATTTTGAAACAATGACTTTGATGTACGTGTGCTAATAGTCTGCTAATGTTAAAGAAAGTTTGAGCGTTATATTTCTTTAAATTCACCAGTTATTGAATTTTCATTCTTGAAAGAAAGCCGTGTTTTCCTAAAACAAGAACATTCTAAAAACAAACCTATCTAGTGTTTTTGTGAAGACATGAAGCCGACTCTTTTATTTTATTAGAACCACCATTAAACGAGCTTTAACAGTACAGATCGTTTTTTCTTTTTTTTTTTTGTCTTATTACTAAGAAAACACACTTTTTCTAATTCAGAAAAACTGAACTCTGCCCGTAATTTTGTCTTTTCTCCATTAGAACTAACTTTTTATGCAATAAAAATACTGTAGACCTATTGGCACCACCGGTGGTATCACCAACAAGCTATCGACACCACCAACGGGTGTCAGCCACAGCTATTGACACCAGTGCACCGAGACTCAATCTAGTTGGCGTCAATTAAAGCTATTCTCTATTATTATCTCCACACAAGACGGAGTTTCTGTATACTGATGTCAATAACTTTAACTGATACCCGTTAGTGGTGTCGATAGCGTTTTGGTGACACCAGCGCTGGTGTCAATAGCCGTTCCGATAAAATATCATATTCAGAGTCGGCGTCGAAAACTGAGTCGTATGATGTAGTTTTTTTTATCGTATTCGACCACTTTTGTTTTTTTCAAATTTTCCGGTCGAAAAATTACTGAGATTTTCACCATACAATGAAAATCAACGAAACATTTATCATCTGACACAATTTTCGACGTCGACTCTGAATATGATATTTTTATTGCCTAAAACACGCAAAAACTCAACAGTCCCGACCGATATCTCGACTTTTTCGATTTCAATTTAAAAACTATGAAAGTTTTTGTCTTATCACTCGATATATAATGGAAAGACGAGTCGAATATTATAAGTGACTTTCCGTTTTGTTTTGTTAAAATTTTACCTATCTTAAAAAAGGCCACATCAGGTTTTTAAAAACCTTCTAAAAACCTCCAAAACGTTTCGAAAGTTTTTCGACGACACAAGAAAGCCCTAACTTTTTACCATATATTCCACAAAAAACTTCAAGGTTCACTACGTGTTTACATTGACAAAAGTTTGATGTTTAGTGAGTCCTCTGTTATGTCAGTCGTTGCTGACATAAGTCATGGCTCTCCCAAATAGCATTCTCTTTGTCATCATTCCTTCTCTTATCATAGCTACATTCATTGTGTTCAGATTCTTCTCTCTCTCTCCCCCTCACGTATATATATTGTGAGGTTTTCTGTACAAGAGGAGTTTTTTTTGTTTTTTCTGATTGTATTGTTGGAATAAAAGGAGATGGGTATAACATCCTCAAAACACAAAATAACGCAAATGATGCGATTTTGCGTTCTATGATGCCGGTATTTCCAAACTTCTTT